ATCGTCCTTAATCCCTTCTAGATACGAGGTCGGCCTCCTCGGGTAGTATTAGCCAAGATCAATCGTCCTTAATCCCATCTAGATACGAGGTCGGCCTCCACGGGTAGTATTAGCCTAAATCAATCGTCCTTAATCCCATCTAGATATGAGGTCGGCCTCCTCGGGTAGTATTAGCCAAGATCAATCGTCCTTAATCTCATCTAGATATGAGGTCGCCCCCCTCGGGTAGTATTAGCCGATAAGTTATGTACTCTCGGGTGGCTGGCCCTGGCAGCAACCTTAAAGGGCGAGCATGTTCGGTGACGGGGATTCAAACCCGCGACCCTCAGATTGCGAGTCAAGCACCCTAACTAACAGCCCATGCCAGGCCTTCCAGAATTAGACTACCTAATCTGTCAAATATTACTGGTGAACCGGAAGCTCTTTCTCAATAAGTCCTTGTTTTCCAAAAAGTGGAATACGAAACCTGCTACCTTTTCGCTTTTGTTTTTATTTATTTGTTGTTATTGTTGTTGTTTTTCGGATACGTGATTTTTATAGTTGTTGTTGTTGTTGTCTTTATCTGTACAAATATATTAATTTAACGAAAATAAAAAAAAATAACCGGAGAGTTCTTGTGTGTGTGTGTGGGGGGGGGGGATGACAGGAAGAAGGCGGTCTCTCTCTGGCGGGGTCATGATCTTCATTGATTTTTAACCTGTTAATGTCATTTTTGATCTGAGATATCCCTCTGAAGAACGTGCGTTTTTGTGCAACTTTTGATAGGAGTGTTATTAACTACATCACAAATGTTTACTTGTGTTTTGGAAATGCAATAATGGAAAAAAAAATAAGGAATCGAAATATACGTATTATGAAAAGAAGTTAGAGGTGATTTGTTTTGAAACCGTGCACGAAACCTTTAGGAACACCTACGGTATATTGAATAGAGTTATTCTAGTCCAAAATATGGTAAAGAGCTCACGTAAGCATCGTATGTCTCTCGACATCGACGGAGAAACTTACGTGACTAATAACATCACGAGAGAAAAAAGGAGGAGTGGCGGATAGAGAGGACGTCTATATATAAAATGAATACACATACAGGATGCAGAAAAAAATCAAAATTCCAAGAAGAAAAATAGACACATTACGATTCAGCTATAGTTGCTTACGTCACCAATTTTAGCATACTCGATTCTCAACGTTCACAGCACCACATTTACGACTTTAATACCTTTGACTTCTTTTTCAACATATCATTTCAGTGACAATCTTCAAGCAGATATCGGGGTCATAGAAGTTACTTAACTTAGCGTAGAACTAAAAACTACACAAGGACAAAATAGCGTTTCGTTTGTATTTTATCGTGTACTCTATAATACCAAGCGGATGATATTGATCACTTATAAATCATAATATTTCATTATTTAGTAGCAGCGATTAATCGTTCTGGACCAATCAGACTACTTGGTTTGATTTTAATTTCGCGAGGGCTATCTGCGCTAGCCGTCCCTAATTTAGCAGTGAAATACTCTAATTTTGTTTTATGTTACAACGTCCCTCTCTAACCTTGTTTTATAATTAATCGTCCCTCTCTAACTTATTTTTATATTCATTCGTCCCCTTTTAAATTTTCGTTTCATATTTTAAAATATAAAAAATAATAAGCAAATATTGTTTTTGTTGTATTTTTTGTATCATATTATATGAAAGAGGGGATTTCGCTAAGCTGTTATTACTTAAATTACGATGGAAGTGAGAATTACAATCATCCAAAATGTAAACACAAACCTCCAAAAGTTAATGATTCCATAAAACACATTCATTTATTATATATATATTTTCTAAATTAATAGTTGAAATTTTGAACAGTACATTTTAATATTTGTTGGGACAAATACATTTAGCTAAAAACAAACAATAAACATTTAATTTACGAGTTATGCAGTAAGGAATTGTTATCCCTTTTCTCATCCTCAGCTCTACTGACAACTTTAACAATGACATTACATTCTATTAATATGAGTTGAGCAGTAAGGAATTGTTATCCCTTTTCTCATCCTCAGCTCTACTGACAACTTTAACAATGACATTACGTTCTATTAATATGAGTTGAGCAGTAAGGAGATGTTAACCCTTTTCTCATCCTCAGCTCTACTGACAACTTTAACAATGACATTACATTATGTTAATATGAGTTGAGCAGTAAGGAATTGTTATCCCTTTTCTCATACATAGCTCTACTGACAACTTTAACAATGATATTACATTCTGTTAAAATGGGTTGAGCAGTAGTAAAATGTTAACCCTTTTCTCATACTAACAGCTTTAACAATGACATTGCATTTTATTAATGCGAGTTGACCAGAACAAGATGCATTTCCAAGCTAAAGTTTTTCTTCGCAAAAACTTACCGGACGGTGACAAACAAAAAATATCCCTCAATGAATGACAACGCGACAAAAAAAAATACACGGTGAATTAAAATGTCGTGTTTCAACTGTGAATTCACAACGCGGTGATATCTTAAAATAAACTCTCACTGACAACATTTTTCTAAATAAATAAATACAAAAAAAAAACTTAATAACAAGTCTCCGACAGTTACATTCCTCAGCAATGCTGGAGCTGAAGGATTTTTTTATGGGGTGTAAGAAAACACTCTACGTTTCTTCGGTGTCTACCTAATCAGGTTTCAGTTTCGGTTGGCGCCAGTTGAAACTGAAGCTTAATGATTAGAAAAGGCCTTTCTCAGATTTCACTAACGCACAGCAGTATAAGGTTTTCAAAAGGGGACAAACTTCAGTGTGTAATGTTTAAAGAAGAAAACATGAATTCTCTCTTTCTCTTTGAGTGTAACAACTGGAGCATGCGTCGATTTTTTATAAACTATCGAATAACATGGCTACAAGATCCTAATTGGAAAGTGTTATCTCACGCTAATGAATGCTGTGCAGTCATTAATTAGAAACGCGTGCCAAACAACCAAATATGAGGTCTAAATTGTAGCTCTAAAATGTTGGTTTAATTGAGTACGACCACATGCGCTTTTAAACTGAGTCACCACATAACGATGATAACATATTTGAGACAGTATATTGTGGTTGATGTCAAGCTGTGTTAAGCCTTTTTGTTCATAAAATAGTTAAAGCATTTCATACGGTAGCAGTTTGAAAGAACTGAAGTCGGTGGTATATTCCGAGCCTAATCATTCCCATACAAACTTACACAAATGAATGAATAATAGTGTAATACTGATAGGTTTCTTTTTATTATTATTTTCTTAAAGGAAGAAAAACAAACAAAAACTTTAGGTGGCGAACTGGCTCTACATAACATCACCAAATAAATACGTCTGCAATCTAATTTAAATAACAAGGACAATTTCATCAATAAACGAAGTTAATAACTTTTACATATTCTCATGTAATCCGTCACTACAACGCATCTAAAAGAAAATCATTGAAAAACAAGCAAACTGTTAACTAAGTGTATACTTACTGCTTCTGTGTGAATCGGATGGACGGAAAACAAAATGGCGGCGACGAAACTGACAACACGAGGCAAGAAGAGGAGGCACAATCTGTAATAGCGCGTGTTTAGAGTGACATCTACATTCAACATTTTCTTATCAAAAAAGGTATAGAAAATTATAATAGGAGTACCAAAACTAGTTACTATTAAATATGAGATTTTTTTTTATCTGAAAGATATTTGAGTTTCAAAATATTTTTACACAGTAGTTCCTCTAACATTTCTTCCGCACAAACCTAAGGTTGTCTAAGTTAAAACAACATCTTGTTTGTCACTATTTCCAGCTATTATCTAAAGCTTCGTGACGTTTTAGGTTTGTATCTACAACAAGTAATATGTAGATCTTTTAATCTGTGTTTTATCGACGTTTTAGGTTTGTATCTGCAACAAGTAATATTTAGATCTTTTATCTGTCTTTTATCGACGTTTTAGGTTTGTATCTGCAACAAGTAATATTTAGATCTTTTAATCTGTGTTTTATCGACGTTTTAGGTTTGTATCTGCAACAAGTAATATGTAGATCTTTTATCTGTGCCTTAGGTTTTCAGAAACATACACTCAGAGTGCGATCTGTCATTACCTGTAGTTACTTATTTGTATTCATAGCTGTTTCACGTATGAACAACAATTGCAACTTTCATTTTGTAAATCGTTTTACAATAGAAAATATATCGTCCGTATGATATAAAATTACGATTATGTCACAAGCCCACGTGTTCATCACGTGTGTGTTTAAAGAGACAGAAAAGTTTCCGATTGTTTGTTTGTTATGGATTTCGCGCAAAGCTACACGAGAGCTATCTGCGCTATTCGTCCCTAATTTAGCAGTGGAAGACTAGAGGGAAGGCAGCTAGTCATCAGCACCCACCGCCAACTCTTGGGCTACTCTTTTACCAACGAATAGTGGGACTGACTGTCACTTTATAACGCCCCCACGGCTCACAGACTGAGAGTCGAGAGCCCTAACCACCTGGCCATGCCGGGCAAAAGTTTCCGAAATATTTGTTGAAATGAGTCGGGTAATAATGAAGGAATCCGTTATTTTAATGAAGGTGACGTAAGACTGCACACGTTAAACTTGAAACAGCAGCAACAAACGTTATACCCAAACATAAACTTTGCTACAGGGCTGGTATAGGTGTTTTCTAGCCTCCTACTTGATCAATTTTTTACCCAGATAACACAGTTCTTTTCATCAAACGAAATCAAGACTCATCTTTCCCTTTCTGTTCTGAAACGAGTGGGTAACACGAGAAAAAAAAACAGTGGTTTTTCTTATTAGATAAACGTGTTTAGTATAATATCATTAGTGAGGGTATAATAACCACAGGCGTAGAAAGCAGAGGGTCAAGGGAGCAATTGACCCCCAGATATAATTATTATATTTGCAAACTGATTATGCCTTTCCAGAAAATATACCACCCGCACGTGACATTTACACTTACACCTTTTTAACCCTTTAGCCTCGTATGGTTCCGCCGGAAGGAAGTCACTGGAACCATTTTGTTTTCAAGCGATTTTAAATCTTATAGTACACTATTGTAAGGTCGACTTTATATTTTCGGGCAAAACTTGCTTGCCCCCCCCCCTTTACCCCGATCAAAATCAAACCCACACGCCTATGATGATAACAACCATTCTTAAGGCCAATACCAGTTCCCAACTTAACTGACGCTATGTGAAAACACTATAATCTTATACTATAAAACACAGTGTATATCTGCCTGTCTGTCTCTCGGTCACGCACTGACGTCATAGCAGCTTATTACGTAATTTAAGTAGTTTGGCTTCCTGTCAATTAGAAACAAATGTCTACGATTGATTGAAGATTAAAGATATATTTGGACTAAAATGTACAAAAAAATGCACCTTTTTCGCAATTTGAAAACTTATCTTTGTTAAATCGTCGAGTTACGCCAGAAAGGCCGTGAACATACTTTAGTAGACATTTTATACAGCATATTAAAAGCTTATCAAAGTTTTTAAAAAGGTCTAACGTTACGTCGTACAATAAAAATTAGAATATTAACTATTGATAGTATTAAGTGCGGTAAGGTGTAGCTTTAACTGAACTAAAACAATAAAAACGTAAACAAGTTACAGTGTTAATTTATCTCTTTATCGAATACAGGTCGTACTTAATAAAGGCTTAACTAATATTAGGCCTAAGACAAGTGGACTTATAGATTTCGGTGTCTGCGAATAGAATTATTTTTGTACTACTTTAGAAATCCTGTATTTAAGAAAGTACTGTTGTAATAAAGATACTAATTTAGCCGCAAATGTTCTGCAGGTCTCCGCTAGTTTAAGACATAAAACACCGATACCTGTAATACAAGACGCAGACTAAGGCGTGAAGCAAAACATTGATCACGTGATAACCAAAAGGCTGAAGACCGTGGACGGCATAGTTGAGTCGGAAGGTGAAGACCGTGATTGGACGGTAAGACTTGTGACTTTGTTCCTGTTATAACACACACACACAGATTTACCAAGTTTAAACGAGGGGAAAAACAAAAACTTGTTAAACAAACGAACAGAAAAGAATGGAAATCTTAGGTTATCAACGTAAAAAAAGTTTCATTTTATTGTCTCGTATAATCTTACGTTAGCTTTTAGATAGACAATATATAAATAAGTGCATAAATGATTGTATATATATAGATAAAACAGTGAAAAATAGTATATATTTATATACATATTTCTAACAGATATGTTTGGATATATTTCGGAACATCAGAAGTACTCTTCAGCCGAAAGTTGTTACTTTCTACAAAAACAATTAATTAATTTATTTATTTTTACAATCGAAGGCTGTTCACTTATATATATATTACACACAGTGACGTATGCTTCTTGTTCACTCTGTGGAACAAAGCACCAACCTTTTGCAGTGGAGTTCCCCAGAAATCATTGAGAAAAAGGTTAAGCAATGGGCTGGAAGGGCGCACGTCGCGATTCCTCTGAATCGCTGCTACATCGTCAAACACAAGGTCGCACCCTAGAGAGGTGCTGTACACAGTCAAGGCTGTAGCCGCAATGGCTAGAGGATAAAACTTCTCTAGCGGTTTACTCATGGTAGTAACTGTGGGAGATAAACAAAATTAAATGACTGAAGATTAAGATTGAACATTTATTTTCTGAACAGTACAAGTTTAGCAAAAAAAAAAGGTTTTTTATTAATATATATGCACACAAATACACCCAGAAATGTATGTACACTTACACAGATACGTACAAATACAGAACACAAAGTAGATATCGCTATAGGTCTAACTATAAAATCCAATTACGTTTACTCGTTAGACAGTGAAACTTAATATTTAATCGAATATTTTTTTTATATATGTATAATATTACCAAAGAAATATTATAATTAAAATAATAATGATGGTAAAAAAAAAAAAAAA